TATTTTTGGGAAAAAATATTAAATAAAAAATAATCTATCTATATAATGAAAGTGAATGTTTGTATGTATGTATCCGGAGGGTGGAAGGACGGCAGCTTTCTGGTTGGCTCTCACTTTCACAGGCCACTCTGACAAGCACGGGTGACGGACCTGGACCAAACTTAGCACACATAACCCCCATGATGCATTTTACATCCTGGTGCGGTTTGGGAGAGGACAGACAATGGATGATGGGATTTGTAGTACTTTCAAACCCATCGGTTCCCACAGACCACTGTGGCCCCCAACAAAGACTGGTAAAGACCAAACTTGGCACACTGAGCCCCCATGACCCACTCTACATCCTACTTCAGTTTGGAGGAGGGCTGACCATGGATGATGGGACTTGAAGTACCCCCACTCAATTCCCGAGACCGCTGCGACCCTCATCAATGACCAATCAAGACCAAACTTGGCACACAGAGCCCCTTTGACCCTCTCTCCACCCTGGAGCAGTTTGGAGGAGGATGGACCACAGATGATGGGACTCACAGTACCTTCACTAACTTCCTGAGACCACTACAAGCCATATAAATAACTGATAAAGACCAACCTTGAGACACAATTCCTTTCTCAAATAACCCGGGCAGTGCCGGGTCCCCAAGCTAGTAATATATAAAAAGAGAGTAAATTTTGTGGTGTTTTCTTTAGGAACGAATGGCAGCGTTTCCTTAGTATTACCTATTGTTACATTATTGTATTGACATGATTGTAAGATATTACTATCTATATATATATAAAAATGTAATGTTCGTTTGTGCTGCCATCAGAACTCAAAAACCACAGGACGAATTTGACACCAAATTTGGACACAAGACACCTAACAGTCCAATGTATGTCCTCCACTCAAAAAAAATTTGATTTTGTCGTTTGGGAATTGTCGTTGCTGGGATGTATAGTTCACCTACAATCAAAGAGCATTCTGAACTCCACCAATGATGGAATTGAACCAAATATGGCATACAGGACTTCCATGGCAAACAGAACACACTGGAAGGGTTTGGAGGGCATTGACCTTGAGTTTGGGAGTTGTAGTTCACCTACATCCAGAGAGCACTGTGGACTCAAACAATGATGGATCTGGACCAAACTTGACACAAATATTCCATATGCCCAAATATGAACACAGATGGAGTTTGGAGGAAATAGACCTTGACATTTGGGATTTGTAGTTACTGGGATTTATAGTTCACTACAATTAAAGAGCATTCTGAACTCCACCAATGATGGAATTGGGCCAAGCATGGCATACAGGACTTCCATGACCAACAGAACACACTGGAAGGGTTTGGTGGGCATTGACCTTGAGTTTGGGAGTTGTAGTTTACCTACATCCAGAGTGCACTGTGGACTCAAACAATGATGGATCTGGACCAAACTTGGCACGAATATTCCATATGCCCAAATATGAACACAGATGGAGTTTGGAGGAAATAGACCTTGACATTTGGGATTTGTAGTTACTGGGATTTATAGTTCACTACAATCAAAGAGCATTCTGAACTCCACCAACGATGGAATTGAACCGAACATGGCATACAGGACTCCCATGACCAACAGAAAACACTAGAAGGGTTTGGTGGGCATTGACCCTGAGTTTGGGAGTTGTAGTTCAACTACATCCAGAGAGCACGGTGGACTCAAACAATGATGGATCTGGACCAAACTTGACACAAATATTCCATATGCCCAAATATGAACACAGATGGTGTTTGGAGGAAATAGACCTTGACATTTGGGATTTGTAGTTACTGGGATTTATAGTTCACCTACAATCAAAGAGCGTTCTGAACCCCACCAAAGACAGAATTGGGGCAAACTTCCCACACAGAACCCCCATGACCAACAGAAAATACTCAAGGCCATCCAGTCCAACTCTCTTCACCAGGGCAAGAAAACGTAATCAAAGCCCTCCTGACAAAGAGCCATCCAGCCATAATAGATAGATAGATAGATAGATATGATTCACACACAGAGAGATATAGTATCATAGATTTGAAAGGGACCCTTAAAGAAGGACAATGATATGTTGCATGTTCCAGAGTAGGCAAACCAGACACTCTCCACATCAACACTGACAAAGAAACAGCAAGAAATACTGTTTACCCACAAGCATAAAGAAATTACATATATTAGAAACCAACACTTTCTCATTACTTTATTATCCAGATCACCAGACTGGGCCACAGCAACGCCTGGCAGGGGACAGCTAGTAGTTTTATATATATTACATTACAATTATTATTTTATATTATGTTATTATGATATTGTGATATATTGCTTTTGATTATATATATATATATATATATATATATATATATATAATCTTCATATAGATCTATTGCTTTTGATTAGATATATCTTCATATAGATCGTTGCTACTCTGCTGCATGCTCACAGCAGAGTAGCACAGCGCAAGGGCAGATGCCGTCACTGTGTCTGGTTGTGATCCCCAGGTTGTGCCAGTCAGCTTTCATATGATGTTATTTCTAGCACCCACTTTTTGCTTGATATTCAGGCAGTGCTTCTTCTAGGTCAGAACATGGTGACTCCCAGGTATTTGTGTGTGTTGCAATGTTCCAGTGGGATTCCTTCCCAGGTAACAATCCTCAGAGCTCAGGATGCTTAAGGTGAAAGGCACATGTCTGTGTTTTAGGTGGATTAGGGATCAGCTGGTTTTCCCTGTAATAGCAGTTAGAGCATCGAAAGTTTTGGAGAGCTTCTGTTCAGCCATTACAAAGCTCCCTGCTTGGGTGGTGATGGCATGATCATCAGCGTAGATAAAACTCTCTGTCCCTTCTGGCAGTGGCTGGTCATTTGTGTAGATGTTAAACATGAGGAGCTGTATTAAGAGGCATTAGGAAAGTTGAGAACTACTGACCTAAAGCTTCAGAGAGCTTCTGTTCAACCATTTCAAGGCTCCCTGCTTGGGCGGTGATAGCACTGTCGTCAGCGTAGATTAGACTTTCTGTCCCTTCTGGCCATGGCTGGTCATTTGTGTAGATGTTGGACATGGATGGAGCAATCACGCTCCCCTGAGGCAGGCCGTTCTTCTGTTTCCGCCATCTGCTTCTCTGACCCTGGAACTCAACAAAAAAGCTCCTGTTTTGTAGCAGGTTTCCTATGAAACGGGCGAGATGATCATCCTTTGTGATATTATACTTTTTTTTTTCAGGAGGAGGGCTGCAAGTTACGGTTTTCAAAGTGTTCTACCATACAAGTCCCGTATCCATATGGAAAGATTTCCGAACCTATTTTGGTAACAGCACACTACAGCAAACTTGGGTGGTGATGGCATGATCGTCAGCATAGATGAAACTCTCTGTCTGTTCTGGCAGTGGCTGGTCATTTGTGTCAATGATAAACATGAGATACTGTATTAAGAGCCATTAGGAAGGTTGAGAAACACTGACCTAAAGCTTTGGAGAGCTTCTGTTCAGCTATTACAAAGCTCCCTGCTTGGGTGGTGACGGCACAATCATCGGCATAGATGAAACCCTCTGTCCCTTCTGGCAGTGGCCGGTCATTTGTGTCGATGTAAACATGAATGCTGCAAGCTGGTTTCCCCTGTAATAGGCAGTAAGAGCACCTAAAGCTTCGGAGAGCTTCTGTTCTACCATCTCAAAGCTCTCTGCTTAAGCGTTGATGGCACCATCGTCTGCATAGATGGAACTTTCTGTCGCTTCTGGCAGTGGCTGGTCATTTGTGTACATGTTAAACATGAGGAACTGTATTAAGAGGCATTGGGAAGGTTGAGAACCACTGACCTAAAGCTTCGGAGAGCTTCTGTTCAGACATTACAAAGCTCTCTGCTTGAGCGTTGATGGCACCGTCGTCAGCATAGATGAAACTCTCTGCCCCTTCTGGCAGTGGCTGGTCATTTGTGGACATGTTAAACATGAGGAACTGTAGTAAGAGGCATTAGGAAGGTTGGGAAACACTGACTTGGAGAGCTTCTGTTCAACCATCCGTTCAACAAAGCTCCCTGCTTGAGCGGTGATGGCATGATCGTCAGCGTATATTAAACTCTGTCCCTTCTGGTCATTTCTGTAAATGTTAAACATGGATGGAGCAAGCTGGCTTTCCCTGTCATAGGCAGTAAGAGCTAAAGGTTCGGAGAGCTTCTGTTCAGCCATCTCAAAGCTCCCTGCTTGAGCGGTGATGGCACTGTTGTCTGCATAGATGAAGCTCTCCGTCCCTTCTGGCAGTGGCTGGTCATTTGTGTCAATGTTAAACATGAATGGAGCAAGCACGCTCCCCTGAGGCAGGCCGTCCTGCTGTTTCCGCCTTCTTCTCTGATCCTGGAACTCAACAAAAAAGCTCCTGTTTCGTAGCAGATTTCTTTGAGTGGTGATGGCATGATCGTCAGCATAGATGAAACTCTCTTTCCCTTCTGGGAGTGGCTGGTGTTTTGTGTAAATGTTGAACATGGATGGAGCAAGCACGCTCCCCTGAGGCAGGCCGTCCTGCTGTTTCCGCCTTCTTCTCTGATCCTGGGACTCAACAAAAAAGCTCCTGTTTCGTAGCAGAATTTTTTTTCCCTATGCTGACAATCGTGCCATCACCACCCAAACAGAGTCGTTGGTAGTCCTTTGTGTTATACGTTTTTCTAAGGAGGAGGCGATGATTGACAATGTCTTAGGCTTCTCACAAGCCTGTGACGACAGCTCCTGTAAACTTGCAGCACGCGACCAAATAATATATTATTATTAATAATAATAATAATATGTAATAATAAATAATATAATAATAATAATTTTATATGTCTTTACAGTATAATGATAATAATAAGTAATAAATAATAATAATAATAATATATGTCTTTACAGTATAATGATAATAATAATAATACGTAATAAATAATAATAATAATAATAATAATAATAATAATAATAATAATAATAATAATAACAACAATATTATAATAGAACCATACAGTCATACAGTTGCTTTTATTATCT